CTCAGAGATTGGGGAGAATGCAAGAGAGGTATGTTGATATTGTTAATTTTTATTTCTTAAGCCACCTGGTAGCTACATGGTACATATTGATTGCATATTAGATAATTGATCTTATATCTGCAGGTTGTATAACTATAAATTCAACCAACCACATTTTGAAAATATTTGGGAAAAATTATGTCTGTACTGAAGACATACAGATTTCTTTTCTTGTCATTAATTCTTTAACAAACATACATTATAACACATACCTTACTTTTTTTTCTTTTTGATGGTACTAAGAATCAAATCTASCACATGCTAGGTTAGTGCTCTACCATTGAGCTATACCCTCAAGTCCCATATAAAGTACTTACATTGTAGTAGGTATAATAAATACTCTAGAGGTGCTTTAAAATATACAGGAGAATGCTTTGGTTATATTTGAATACCACACCCTTTTATATACAGTATTGAGCATCTGTGGATTTTGATAAGTGTGGCAGATCCTAGAACTAGTCCCCCATGATACCTTTGTTATATTTTTAACAAAGGTATCATGTTAAAAATTAAACAATCTGTGAAGGAGTAGTGCAAGATGAGGCTGGAGAGCCAGGCACAGGTCCATCTCCAACTTGGTTCTTTCCCCAACTTCCAGCTGCCTACTCGACWTTTCTTCTTGGCTGTCTAGCAATTAAACAAAATCCAGTATGTCCAAAATAGAGTTATTTCCTTCTAAATGTGTCTTTTTCTCTTGCCTTTGGGATCTTGATTAAACATTGTTTTCTGGTCTAGGAATCCGGGTTTTGCTCTAGACTCTTTTGTCTCTGTTAACTTGTCTTTTTAATTGGTTTCTTTCTGTATTAGATAAGGTTTTGGGTGCCACGTGATCTGACATATTTGGAATGACAATGCTAAGGGTTGACAATGTATTCTTTTCTCTGTAAGATTTGTTTCAGTAATTTGCCATTCACCTTAAACAAGGACAAAAAGAAGAAAAGTGAAGCTTGCTGGGTAAGACAACCCTAAGTACATTTGTAGAGCACCCACCATGTGCCAGGCCTTGGAGATGCAAAAATGAACAGGCACCCTCTGCCCTGAGAGGCTGGGTCTGCTGGGGATGGATGTCAAGAGTTCACCAGAGGGGCTGGTGTCATGGCTCAGCGGTAGAGCACTTGCCTAGCATGTGTGAGGCACTGGGTTCGATTCTCAGCACCACATATAAATAAAGGTCCATCAACAACTAATAAAATATTTAAAAAAAAAAGAGTTCACCAGAGGAAAAGGCATTCCCAGCAGAAGTGATATCAGATACCAAGGCACAGAGCCAGAAAACTGTGGCACATTCAGAGATTTCAAGTACATTGATGTAGGTACAGCACAGAGCATAAGGAAAAATGGCAACAGGTGAGGGTGGAAAAGTCAACCCAAAGCAGATCAAGAAGGGCTGAGGATGAAAAATGCTCTAATGTCAATGTCTTATCTTGCTGGTGTTGAGATCACTAAAACCTCCTAAATAGGAAGGAGGGGAGTGATCAGCAAGGCAGGAAGGGAGCATTCATTCACCAGGACACCAGCCCCTCTGGTGAACTCTTGACATCCATCCCCAGCAGACCCAGCCTCTCAGGGCAGAGGGTGCCTGTCCATTTTTGCATCTCCAAAGCCTGGCACATGGTGGGTGCTCTACAAATGTACTTAGGGTTGTCTTACCCAGCAAGCTTCACTTTTCTTCTTTTTGTCCTTGTTTGAGGTGAATGGCAAATTACTGACACAAATCTTACAGAGAAAAGAATACATTGTCAACAGTTAGATACTCTGTTTCCTCTTATTGCTTAGGAACTCTGGACAACAAGTACATGTTGAATGAAATAAAAGAAATGAACGAACAAGGAAAATATTTTWAAAAGTGAGACAGGGTGACAGTATAAGGTTCTGAAGCTAGAAGAAACACTAGAGAAAATAATTAGAGCTGGGTGTGGGGGGGGTGCATCCCTATTATACCAGCTACTTGGGAGGCCGAGGTAAATTCAAGGCCAGCATGCCCAACTTAGCAAGACCCCTGTCTCAAAATTAAACAACAACAACAAAAAAAGGTTGGGGATGTAGCTCACTGGTAGAGCATCCCTGAGTTCATGCCCCAGTACTGTAAAAGGAAGAAGAAAGCACACATCCAGTAATTTAACAGAAATTCATAAATCACTGCAGCAAGGCTGGACTGTATCAGGCTTTCTTGTGGCAGTTGGGTTGTTTTAGTAAAGCAAGACAATAGCTAGTTGTGCTTAAAAGATGGCTCCTGGGGACTGGGGTTGTGTCTCAGTGGTAGAGCACTTGCCTAGCATGTGTGAGGCACTGGGTTTGATTCTCAGCACTGCATATAAATAAATATATATATATATATATATATATATATATATATATAAAATAAAGTCTATCGATAACTAAGAAAATATCTAAACAACAACAACAACCACAACAAAGATGGCCCCTGGCACATAGTTTTAAAATTCTCTTTATTGGCTCTAAAGATGGTGGTAGGAGCTGCCTCACAGTCCAGGGGAAAAAAAAAAAAAGAGGAAAATGGTCATGATTAGAGGAAGGGGCAGCCCTACCAGTGGCTGATGGAAAGGCCCATCTCAGTGGCATTAAAGTATGTAGGGGGCACTTGTGGCTCCTGCAGTTTCTACTTTGCATTCTCAGATCCAAAGAGGACAATGCCTGGAGCTTTCAGCCTCACCAAAGAGCCCAGGCTACTAAGGTGACATCGAAACCAGAGGTGTTTTTTTTTTTTTTTTTTTTTTTTTTAGTTGTACATAGACACAATATCTTTGCTTTATTTATTTATTTTATGTGGTGCTGAGGACCGAACCCAGTACCTCACCCATGCGAGGCAAGGGCTCAACCACTAAGCTACAACTCCAGACCCCAAACCAGAGGGTTTAAAAGGAGTTTTAAAAAGCCATGACATATTTTGTTGAAATAATCATGCACATCCTCAACACAGATGACATGGTGAAGAGTCTTGGAATGTCTGTGAAGACTTATTGGGTTAAGCATAATTTCTCTGAAACGTTAAAAAGAGAAAAAAAAAAGGAAGAAATTCGTAAATCAGATTGGATCCCTTTGGCACCTCATCTCCCCTGTGAACTTTCCTGTGGCAGCTGTAACAGGAGAAGGTTGAAGTGCATCTTCMGTCTCAACGTGGCTCCCTGAAAGCAGACCAATTCCTAGATTCCACTATAGAGATTGTCCAATAATTGGTCTGTTTGGGGGGCCAGGAAACCAGTATTTTATCCTATTTATTTGGTTTTTTGCCCTTGAAGATTGAATGCAGGACCTTGGGCATGCTAAAAATTCTCTCTGCCACCAGCTCCTTCCTGAGCCATAGGTATTTTTTCTACTATTAATAGCTCTCCTGTTAATACTAGTATGAGCCAGGGTGGAGAACCAGTGAGCTCTGAGGTTCACACGATAATGAATTCAAATTCTTATCTCTCTAAGTTCAAGGAAGCATTTCTATAGAGAATATTTTGATAAAGGTTGTAGTGTTCTCTGCCCTGGTTCCTGACCCTTCCAAGAACTGTCTGTCTCCATCATCTCTTGATTTTCTTTCCTGTGGGTCTTAGGCTTTCACCCTTGCTGCCTTCTGTTGTTTACCTTCCAAACATGCTTAAGTTTCCCTGATCCTTGGCAAGACAATGAAAACCCTGTCCTCAACACTGCTGCCTATTCTTTGAACTCTTTGCCCATCCCTGTTCTCCTTCCTTTCATCATTTTTTGAAACAGCCGTCTGTTTGGTGCACTCAATTGCAGGTCTTCTGTTCCCTCGGCCCGTTGAAATCCACTTTGGATATTCCCACCAACAAAAAGTTTGCCTTCAAAAATCCAGCAGCTTCCAATGTACCAGTCATCCTGTTTCCTTAGCCATCCTGTCATTCTCTCTGCAGTTTCTGACACTCTGTATTGATGATCTCTTCCTTCTTAATGTGCTTTTTCTATCCTAACTTCTCTGTCATGGCATTCTCAGAATTTCTTATCTTTTTCTAACCATTGCAAACTATTGGGAAAATAGGGAAGTGTATGTATATTTGGACTGACAAGGACTGACAATCTATTTACATTCTTTCATGTAACAAATGAAAGAATTTATTTAGTGATTACAAAGGGCCAGTTATCTATGGCTACATAAGAAATTAGCATAATCTTCGTGACTTAAAAACAACACGTATCTATTATCTTACTGTTTTTGTGGACAAGAAATCTGAGCACTGCTTAGCTATACTTTCTGCTTCAGGGTCTTTCACGAGGCTGCATCATGGTGTTGGCCTGGGCTGGACTCTAATCTGAAGATTCAGCTGGGAAAGGATGCACCACCAAGCACCAAACTTCTAATGTGCAGGCAACATTGACAATCACTGCTTCTAGAAGGGCAGTTGAAGAAACAGTCTTCAGAGAGTGAAAAGATGACAAATTATCCAATGCTTACCGAACAGAGAGAATTTAACTAGAGTTAAAACTGAATTTAAAGAAGTCTCTCTCTCTCTCTCTCTCTCTCTCTCTCTCACACACACACACACACACACACACACACATTTCAAATAGCATATAACAGCTTAACTAAAGTGATCACTGATTGGATGGTCAATTAAATGGGGAACATGTCTTCATGAGACTGAGGAGGGGTCAGAAATGTAAAAGAGAATAAAAATGTAGCCTCTTAAAATCCAATAATTTAATTTTTGTGCACATGAAGTAAGCAATAAAATGAAATAAGGAACTACTTGCAAAAAAATTAATATTTCCCTTTGTGTTTATTGAGAGAGAGAGAGAGAGAGAAAGAGANGCAAAAAAATTAATATTTCCCTTTGTGTTTATTGAGAGAGAGAGAGAGAGAGAAAGAGAGAGAGAGAGAGAGAGAGAGAGAGAGAGAGAGAGAGAGTGTGTGTGTGTGTGTGTGTGTGTGTATGTATGTTATGGATAGAACTTACTTGCAAGTTATTCTGATATCTTCTTTTATTTTCTAGGAATATTTTGAAAACCATTGCTCTGGGCCAGATGTTGTCCTTGTGTATATGTGGGACAGCCATCACCAGCCAGTATTTGACAGAAAAGTACCAAGTGAACACCCCCATGCTTCAGAGCTTTATCAACTATTGCTTACTGTTCCTAATTTATACAATGATGCTGGCATTTCAGTCAGGTAGGTCAAATGTGGAAATTACCTTTTCAATAAAATTATCTTCAAAAAGCTGTTCTGCTTTTAGATGCTTAAAAAATAAAAACAGTGCAAAACCAAGAAAGAAAACAGTAGCATTAGTTATAAAAGTTATTAGAAAAAAATGACACTTTTAAAGTCTGAAAGTAGTGACTAGAAATTTATGCATAACTCTCTGAAGTTGTTGATTAAAATCAAGTATGTAGCACCAGCTATTTGTAACAGGGTAGAAGTTGTAAAAAAAAAAGTGTAAATGTTAGATTTCATTTTTTTTTTCTTCTTCTCTCCTCTGGTTGATAAAATTAAGAGCCAATATCAGAAACACTTGAAAAGTCAAGAACTTTACTTTCCAAAATACCTAGTTCTAGCCAAGGGGAGAATGCTGCATACRCATGGATTACATGTGGATCAAGTCCATTTTGAGAGTGACAAAGATGAGAACTTGGCAAAGAATTAACATCATTATTGCTAGCACCATTAGAAAATTGTTGAATTATTGTTTCTAGCTAGTTACACAAAAATGGGAAAAGCTAGACATTTTTTTTTGTGTGTGTGTGGTGTTGGAAATCAGACCCAGGGTGTTGGTCACGTGAGGCTCACATTGAGCTCCACCAGAGCCCCAGGCATCATTTTGATTGCTTAACTCGTTTGTTATATATGGACTCATGGAAGCCTCATAGCTCAGGTGTTATATTATCCTCATTTAACAGAAGAGGAAGCAGGTGTGCAGCACTTAGATCACTTGCTTTAGGTTATGTTGGTGGTAACTGGTAGAACCAGGAATTCAACCTAGGCAGCCTGTCCCAGATACCATGCTCCCATCACCTCTCTGTATTAGGGGCTGCTTGTTTTGCAGTCCTAAAGTCCTTCTCACAAGAAAAGAAGAACATAGTATCGCCAAATCAATTAAAAAAGATTCAGTTCAGGAGCATGAAGAAAATGGGCAACCCAGCTGACCAGGTTTCATCATATTTAAAATTACCAGTGTGGCATTTGTTAATCCACTTTTGAAATGAATCTTAGTGCATTGGTGGTATTCCTATATGTCAGGATCATGACTTTTTTTTTTTTCTTAAAGAAAATAGAAACTAGTTTGAGAGGGGAAAACATGTTTGGGAGTGGGGGAACACCACATTTGGCAAGAGTTCTAGAAGTTGGAAGCAAAACCAGTACATGGTTTGCAGACATAGACCTTGCTCTTTTCTGGAAGCCCTGGACTTCAGGAAGTCAAGGTGATTCATAAGTGCATCATGAGGTCCTCCTAAGGAATGCTTGTTGTGTGCTTTCCATGGATCTTACATCTAGGAAGACTTACTCTGTTTTCAGGATATTCCTGCCAATTGGATTTTAATGATGTTTATTTGGTTATGATTCTCATTAGTTTTATTTCTTTWAAAAAATTTTTTTTAGTTATACCTGAACACAATATATTTATTTTGTTTATTTAGTTTTATGTGGTGCTGAGGATCAAACCCAGTGTTTCACACGTGTGAGGCAAGTGCTCTGCCACTGAACCACAACCGCAACCCACTAGTTTTATTTCTTCCTGGGTTATCTTACCATAAAGCTTCCCCTATACATGCCAACTCAATGTCTCCTGTGATGCTCCATTCTCCAAAGTATTGACTCTTTGTTAATATGAATAAACAAGATTTGGTGGAATAAAAGGTGTTTGTTTAGTTGTATGGCTGGGCCTTTTCCTAAGCTTATCACTGGCTTCCTTTCACTTCACAGTTCATCTTTTTCAAAAGAAAGACCACTTGCAGAGTTTCCTTTGAAGAAGCCCATGAATGGAGGTTAAATAACCAGTTAATTCACAGGAAAACATTTCATTTCCTAGAATAGTCTGTGGCTAGTCAGAAATAGTGACATCCACGCTCATCTGGATATTGTACTTCTTTGACAACAGGAAAGAAAATTTAACCACTTTTCTCTCAATTTCTTTCTGGTGTTTTCATTGACTACTTGGTCTATGGTGACACCTTAACTTGAGTATCATCTAGAAAAAATATGACTCTGCTAAGGTGGTGCAGGAGTTTGGGTTCTGGGTAATGAATCTTAGGTGGGACCACTTTCAAAATACACAATACAGAATACAGATCAGAGAGTCCTGGCTTGAACGCTCTGATCTCCAGATGAATATGTGTTTTATTATTTTCAAGTAACATGAACTAATCCAGCATTCTTTCAACCAGGCAGTGATAACCTTTTAGACATCTTGAAAAGGAAATGGTGGAAGTACATTCTGCTGGGACTGGCAGATGTGGAAGCGAATTACACGATCGTCAGAGCATACCAATACACCACTCTGACCAGTGTCCAGGTGAGAGGGAGCCTTCTGACCATTGTGGATTTTATAGCTTCAAGAGGAGAACATGTGCTTATGTGTGCTAATTAATTTTATTGAAATSTATTCACTTGAAGAAATAACCTAAACACAGGTGGATGATATCTGTTTTCCAGTAGAGCACATGCAGTAATGAGTAATGTTGCCTGGAATTAGTAAAAAAAATGTATACATGTTAATCATTTCCTAAACCACTAATGCTAGAGCAGTTTAGAACAATTCCTACCAAAATAAGCACAAATATTTAGTTGGCAGTTGGTACTGTGRTGTTGACAGGAGTTCTGTTTTATGCGTTGCTCAAACATGAAAGTGGATGTATCTTTATACTACAGAAAAGTTGGAGGTTTGAAAGCAAAGGAACCTATTGAAGGAGCCTATTAAACATCTTGGGGAGAGAGGGTAGCCAAAGGTAGAACTCTCATCCCTATTTCTTTATTAGTTTTATTCTTGCAGGGTTGAAAGAAAAATGCTCCTATATAGCATTAATTTCCAACTTTTTGGAGTTGAGGAAGACTTAATTTCAGTTGTTTAAATGTTAGTGGGAATGCTTTGTATTAATACCAACTCATCATTACTAGCAACAAAATGTATATGGAGATGGAAGTGAAATGGACTCCATGTTTAAACTTCAAAGTTCTATGAATTTATACTTTTTTGATATATTACTTTTCTCACTATACAGTTTGTATTAGACCTACAAATTTTAGCAACTGTGGAAAAATTAAAGTGAAATTAAACTAGGTAAAGATTGACAAAAATCTATTTTTTCTATATGAACATACATTAAATGTTTTTTTCCCAGAATGTGTTTTATTAAATACTTTTTTCCCCCCCTATAACATTGTGCTAAGCATCATCCTCAGCAAACCCTTTGGTTTTTTCACTGGTATAGCTTAAAATTCCCAGATAGGAAATGATTTGTTAAGACAGACATTGTTTTAGTCACCAAAATTCCTGACAAGAATAGTTAGAGGGGGAAAAGTTTATTTTGGCTTGCAGTTTTGGAGGTCTCAGTCCATAGATGACTAACTGCATAGCTCTGAGCCCAGGGTGAGGCAGAACTCTTGGCAGAGGAGCATGGTAGAGGAAAACRGCTCAGGATGTGGTAACAGGAAGTAGAGGGAGCTCTCCTGGGACAAAATTCATACCCAAAGGCTGGCTCCCAGTAGCCTATGTACTCCAGCCACACCCTACCTGCCTACAGTCACCACCAGTTAATCCATATCAGTGGGATAAGCCATCCCATCAAGTTACACTCAAAACCTAATCATATCACCTCTGAACATTCTTGGGTCATCTCACACATGAGCTTTCAAGGGACACCTCATATCTAAACTGTAAGCTGAACACCAGAGGAGGCACACAAAGAACCTAGAATTTCATAAAAATTATAAGCAGAGTTACGTAAAGGATGAAGTTTGTCACAAGGAGGAGTGAGTACATATAGACAATGTCATTTTCTAGTCACATCTACCCTTATAATTTCAGATACCTTTTTTTTTTTKGTGCTAGAGAGTGAACTCAGATACATTTTAATTACTTGATTTCAGTTTTCAGAAACTTTGATATCTGACTAGTAATGATGAACAGTTTTTTAATTGGTTCAAGGTCTACACACAGTTAAACAAAATACTTACCTTTGGATTTTCTTTAAGGGGGGGGGGTGGGCTACCAGGAAGTGAACCCAGAGGTGCTTGATCTCTGAGCCACATCCACAGCCAGTTTTATTTTGAGACAAGGATCTCCCTAAGTTGCTTAAGTCCTTACTACGTTGCTGAGACTGACTTTGAATTTGCGCTCCTCCTGCCTCAGCCTCCTTAGCTTCTGGGATTACAGGCATGTACCAACATGCCCGGCTTACCTGTTGCAACTGAAGTTCATGATTTTTCCTATTGAAAACAATTTCTTATATGCTAGCCCCTTAGAAAAACCTAAGCATTTGATTGTCAAGTCACATACTTCTGGTCCTAGCAAAGAATATATTATTTCAGAAAAAGCATCTTCCTTCTAGCAGCAGAGATGCCTATGATTGGATTTATTMAAGTTGATTCTCTGTTAAAGTAAATCTCTGACTGGGGAAATCTGAAAATGTGGAAATTTGGATTAGAAGGTCTTTGTACCTCCTTCGTAAGGATTCCTTCAAAGATTTGTAATTACAGGTAGTCAGGCGGTGGTTCATTGAAGTTCATGATGTGGCCTTGTGTTTCTACTCCTGTCTCTTCCCACTCTTCTGCCACATCTGCCCATCCCCTACCATATCTGCTCCTTCTCTCTTTTGCCACTCTATTTTTTTCTAGAATATAATCTAGAAATCTGTTTTGAAGTCCTCTCCCCTTTCTCTAAGGCTTACTTCAATGTGGCTATCTTTTCTATATGCTATTGTTCTTTTTTATTTTATTAAAATATATATTTATTTTGTTATATATGATGGCAGAATGCAATTCATTTCATATTACATGTATATTGCACAATTTTTCAAGTCTCTGGTTGTACACAAAGTATCTTCACACCATTCGTGTCTTYAAACATGTGCTTAGGGTAATGATGTCTAACTCATTCCACCATCTTTCCTACCCCCAAACTCCCTCCCTTCCCCTCCCTCCCCTTTGCCCTATCTAAAGTTCCTCCCTTCCTCCCATGCTCCCTCCCAATTGCCATTATGAGTCAACATCCTCACATCAAAGAAAACATTTGGTTTTTTTTTTTTTTTTGGATTGGCTTACGTCACTTAGCATGATATTCTTCAACTYCATCCATTTACCTGCAAATGCCATTATTTTATTCTCTTTTAATGCTGAGTAATGTTCCATTGTGTATATATACCAAAGTTTCCCTATCTATTCATCTACTGAAGGGCATCTGGGTTGGTTCCACAATTTAGCTATTGTGAACTGTGCTGCTATGAACATTGATGTGGCTGTGTCCCTGTAGTATGCTGTTTTTAAGTCCTTTGGGTATAGACCAAGGAGGGTCAAACAGTGGTTCCATTCCCAGTTTTACAAGGAATCTCCATACTGCTTTCCATATTGGCTGCACCAATTTGCACTCCCACCAGCAATGTATGAGTGTGCCTTTCTCCCCACATCCTCACGAACACTTATTGTTGTTTGTATTCTTAATAGCTGCCATTCTGACTGGAGTGAGATGAAATCTTAGAGTAGTTTTGATTTGCATTTCTCTAATTGCTAGAGATGTTGAACTTTTTTTATATGTTTGTTGATTAATTGTATACCCTCTTCTGAGAAGTGTCTGTTCAGTTCCTTGGCCCAATTATTGATTGGGTTATTTTTTTTTTTTTTGGTGTAAAGGTTTTTGAGCTCTTTATATATCCTAGAGATTAGTGCTCTATCTGATGTGCTTGTGGTAAAGATTTGCTCCCATTCTGTAGACTCTCTATTCACTTCATTGATTGTTTCTTTTGCTGAGAAGAAGCTTATGATTTTGAGTCCATCCCATTTATTGATTCTTGGTTTTAATTCTTGCACTATAGGAGTCTTATTAAGTAAGTTGGGGCCTAATCCGACATGATGGAGATTGGGGCCTACTTTCTCTTCCATTAGGTGCAAGATCTCTGGTTTAATTCCTAGGTCCTTGATCCACTTTGAGTTGAGTTTTGTGCATGGCGAGAGATAGGGGTTTAACTTTATTTTGTTGCATGTGGATTTCCAGTTTTCCCAGCACCATTTGTTGAAGAGGCTATCTTTTCTCCAATATATGTTTTTGGCATCTTTGTCTAATATGAGATAACTGTAATTATGTGGGTTAGTCTTTGTGTCCTCTATTCTGTACCATTAGTCTACAAGTCTATTTTAGTGCCAATAGCATGCTGTTTTTGTTACTATTGCTCTGTAGTATAGTTTAAGGTCTGGAATAGTAATGCCACCAGCTTCACTCTTCTTGCTAGGAATTGCTTTGGCTATTCTGAGTCTCTTATTTTTCCAGATTAATTTAATKATTACTTTTTCTATTTCTATGAGGAATGTCATTGGAATTTTGATTGTCATTGCATTGAATCAGTATAGTGCTTTTGGTAGTATGATCATTTTGATAATACTAATTCTGCCTATCCAAGA